AGGCGGCGGTGGGCCACGGGCGAGTAGACGGCGATGGTCCGGGGGAAGCGGACGGCGCGGGCGGCCACGTTGCTGACCGGGCTGCCCTGCCCTTGCTCCGGGGGGGCGCGGCGGCGCAGGAGGAGCGGCCGGGGCCCCAGCGAGCACTGGACCGAGGCGTCCTGGCGCGGGTTGACCTGCACGCCCATCTCCTTGGTGTTGGCCTTGCGCAAGCGCGGCGTCAGGCTGGGGTTCACCTGCGACAGGATGGCCTTCAGCTGCGCCCGCTGGTAGTTGTCGAAGTACTCGGCCGCCGCCGCCGCGGCCGCCGCCGCGCTCTCCCCGTAGCTGGAGAAGTAGCCGCCCCGCTGCCGCCAGGGGGCCGGCCCTTTCCCCTTGGGCGTCGGGTAGCGGTAGGAATAAGGGTTGTAGGAGGGATACACGTAGCTCTCCATGGCCTCCTCCACCGACGTGGCCATCCTGCGCGTCCCCGGCCTCTGCGCCCCGCGGAAGTGCCTTAAATCCCCAACTGGGCGGGATCTGGGTGTTGCTATTGGCACAAACGGGAGTCCTTCAGGGGGGCGGCGGTTAGAGCGGCGGTCCTGTGCGTACTTACGACGTAGTAAGCGCAAGCGAGCTTTTTGGTTGTGGTTCCAGGTAACCTTGCATAGGATCGGAATGCGCGCCTCTGGTCCTACTCCTAGTGCGCACTGGAAACACTGGGCCTTTCTTACCTTTGCTCTAAACCAAGCCCCACACTGGAAGTTTATGCTCAAGTTACTAAAATAGGATGGCATCCTTAGACAGGAGCAAAAGCGCTTGAATGCAGCATGTACTGGCTGGTGAACTCTGTAACCTGCTTTCTGACCTCACCAAATCACACAATTGTACTCATTATTGAGTGATAAATCTGGGTTAATCCTTTAGATCCCCACCCCCAGTCTGTAAACATGTATTAAAAAATAAAGGGAAATCTTCAGCGCTTCCCTCAAGAGTAAGCAACAGTGGAATTTACATCTCAGAAAATATATGCTTAAGGTTGTCCTGTAACTGGAAACTCTTAACAGTCACTTGAAAATAATTTAGCTGGTTTACTTAACACCAAGTGCCTGGTGTCCTGTTAACACCAAGTGCCTGGAGTCCTGATCTCATTGCTAGCTACATCCCCATAAACCATGTGATTTAGATTGGCTTGCAGGTCTACAGTGGTCTTGTGTACTTCAATGATACTGCAGGTCAGAATTCAGCTGTATTTACTGTTAGAAGTGGCTTCTGGTCTAATGATAATGATATTCTGTTTAAACCTATTGCTAATATTTACTAATGAGTTCAATGGAGCGTGCAAGATTTAACTTTAGTAAACAGTACTAGATTCCAGAGTATACCCATTGATACCTAGGAATGGGATAACATACTTGCAGCAAGGAGCAATGCTTTATAATAAAGCACACACTCTTTTGTGTGTAAAGGTAAAGGTTCCCTTGCTCGAAAGCCAGTCGAATCCGACTCTAGGGTTGCGGTGCTCATCTCCGTTTCAAAGCCGAAGAGCCAGCGCTGTCCGAAGACGTTTCCGTGGTCATGTGGCCGGCATGACTAAATGCCAAGGCGCACGGAACGCTGTTACCTTCCCACCGAAGTGGTCCCTATTTATCTACTTGCAATTTCTTGCTTTCGAACTGCTACGTTGGCAGGAGCTGGAACTAGAGACAGGAGCTCACCCTGTCTTGCGGCACCCGGGTCTTGAACCACTGAACTACTGACCTTCCACAGCACAAGGTACCAAATTCAGTCCCTGGCATCATCAGCTAAAGGATATCAGGAGGCTGAGCAGAGACAGGCCTGACTGAGACCTTGGAGAAATGTCACCTATCAGCATAGAAAAAATAAACACACTTCTAAGAAGCTGTAAGCAGGTATACACAGTCTCTTACTATTCAGTGGAGCTTACTTCCATGGAAATGTTCTTAGGATTGCACTAGGCTTACCTACATCTAATGAAGGATTCGTGTCCTCTTGAAGCTACAATTACTCAGAGAGGAAACCTATACATTACATACCTCTTAATCTAAAAGGAAACAGACAAACCCTGGTAAATTTGACTCCTTTGCGAAGAAAGATTGCCTCAACCAATCCTCCCTCTAAGCTGTGGAGTCTTGTGAGCAAAATTCTACTTTGTGAGCTACTGGCATCAAAGTTGTGAGCGAGCGATTTGGCTGCTGCATAAATTAGTTTGCCCTGGAGCCCCATCCTCCCTGAGCTAAGACAAAAATCTGTCAGCTGGAGGTTATTTTATTTATTTGTTCGGCTTGATATACCGCCCTAACCCCCGTGGGGGTCTCTGGGCGGTTTACATTGAGGGTGCTAGTCACAGTTTTTTATATCCCTAACTTTTGGCCACATTAGTAGGAGGGGGGTGGGACATCCTACCGGCACCCTGGTGGAGGCAGACATTCTTCGGCTTGGCTTCATTCCCGGCTATGCAGAGGCTGTTGTTCTGCTGGCGCTTTGATCCGGTAAAAAACAGCTAGCTCACACTAACTCAGCTTAGAAGGAACATTGGCCCTCAACCCTTTTCTGATGTGGTGGAAAGTGTTGTCAAGTCACCGCTGACTTACGACAACCCCATAGGGTTTTCAGAGGTGGTTTGGCATTGCCTGACTCTACCTAGCAATTCTGGACTTCCTTGTTGGCCTTAGCCCATATAAACGCATGAAGCTGCCTTATACTGAGTCAGACCCTTGGTCCATCAAGGTCAGTATTGTCTACCCAGACTGGCAGCAACTCCCCCAGCATCTCAGGCTGCAGTCTTTCACGTCATCTGCTTTTCACCAGGGATTGCCGGGAATTGAACCTGGGACCTTCTGCATTCCAAGCAGATGCTCTACCGCTGAGCCACAGCCCTTCCCTCTCATGTCTAAATGCTAACCAGGGATGTTGTATAGCTTTTAAGCGCTGACCGGATAGGGCTAGGCTGGGCCATTCAGGTCAGGATACTTTCCCTAGAAGTCAACAACACTGGAGGCCCCTTTTTAATGGGTATTCTTGAAAAGCTGCCACCCAATTGGGTTCCTCTCAGCAAGGGAGTCCTGGGGAATACACAGAACAAAAGCAAGGGAGGTTTCTGCACCACACTTCTTCCAAGAAAAGACTAGCTCCTCTGATCTCCACTAGATGAAAGAAACAGTCTCTTAATCAAGAGTCACATGTTCACTGGATTGGCACCTTTGCAAGGAATTTAATCAGTGGTAAGCGTACAACGTTATTGAACCTTTTCACATACATAGACGCTGAAACAGATATGCAAGATATACAAATAGGCTTTAAAAAAAAAAAATAATAACAACAAATGCATCTGGTGCATTCAATGACACTCAGCAGACACCGTCAACCTTTTTCTCTCCCCCCCCGCCTGCCTTCTCATCATCCTCAAAATTACCTTTACCTTTCCAGTTGTGCCGCCCTGTTTCTTGCTTGCATCTCAGTGCACACTGTGTCACACTGATGAGAGTGGTTCACACTGAATATTTTGTGATGACGGGAAGGTTGTCACGGATGGCTTGTGATTTACGGAATACTGAGACGGCTGCAAACCACAGACAAGGAGCTGCTTACGGAATCAAACGTTACAGGAACTGCTTGGTGCCCCCCCCTCCTGGCTCGCTACACTGATTATCCTTAAAAAAGGACGCCTTCCCATGAACGCCTTCCCCCTTGCCCTACAGAGCAGTCTGCGCAGACTCCATGAGCACGGAGCCGTGGCTCTCAGCAGTCACTGTGCCGTAGGAGGTATCCAGGACTTCCTCCTCCTTGAGTTTCTTGTAAGAAATATCAGTGTCGTCTTCTTCCCCGCCCAGAGCGTCTTGCTTGTAGAAATCCTTGCCGTATATCTTGTAGGCCAGCACGATCAGGCCGGCTTCTGCAGCCTGGAAGAGGGCGTACAGCAATGGGAACATGTACATGCTCCCAATGAGCTGCGGAGGGAAAGTCAGCTTGAGTATAGCGGTGCAGAGCTGGACGTTCTGGCAGCCCGTCTCCAGGGACACCGTCCTCTTGCACTGAGGTGGCAGGTGGAATAACGTTGCTACGCCGTAGCCACAGGCATAACCTGCCAAGGGCATCAGCACAGCGACCACGTAGACAGTGGCAGGGATCGTGGCCAGCAGCTCAGGACCCAGCATGGTACCCGTGAGAATGAAAAGAATCACCAAGGTCACTAGGAGAGACCACAGGGAAACCTGGTAATGAGAGAAGCAAGGGAATGGGCTTTTGGAATGCTGCTGCACTGATTGATTTGTTTATCTATTTTATACCCTGCCCTATCCCACGAGTGGACTCGGGGCGGCTCACAACATAAAACCCATAAACAAGAAAAACAATGAAGCCGTAAAAGAGCAGACGGCACAACAGACAGTGACAAAAACCCATGCCTCGTGTCAGGCAGAAATAGGTGCCCCAGGAAACACCAGTGCCCAGATAGTATCCGACAGGGCTCTTTTTGTGGAAAAAGCCCAGCAGGAACTCATTAGCATAATAGGCCACACCCAACACCAGAAACTCATTAACATATTAGGCCACACCCCTGACAGCACCGCTCATTAGGCCATACCCCCGTGTTACCAGAAGTGTGGTCATCCAGCCACACCCACCTTTTGCTTCTTATTCTGTTTACCTTGTTTGTTGTCAAAACCCAGGGCTTTTTTTGGAGCAGGAACTCCTTTGCATGTTAGGCCACACACCCCTAATGTAGCCAATCCTAATGAGTTTCTGCTGTTGGGTGTGGAATATTATGCTAATCAGTTCCTGCTGGGTGTGGCCCACTTGGGAGCCAGCCGGAACTCCGTTCCTGTGCGTTCCTGCCCAAAAATAGCCCTGGTATCCAAAGCAGCAGGGCACTGGGAAAGGGCCATGAACGGGGGAGGCCAGGATGGCTGAGTATCCGCCACCTCAGCCAAAAGCCTGGCGGAAGGGCTCTGCTTTACAGGCCCTGCGGAACTGTGGTAAGTCCCACAGGCCCTGATCTCGAGTGGGAGAATGTTCCACCAGGCAGGGGCAAGGGCCAAAAAAAGCCCTTGCCCTGGTTGGGGCTAAGCAGACATCCCCTGAGCCAGGAGGTGCTGGTCAGAGAAGCATAATATATCAATACATGCAAGGATATATTTTTATAAAAAAATTATTATTTGCAGAAAAGAGAGGTCATGATGAGAGCAAACAAATGCCTTTAGCAGTGCACCTGTGGAATTCAAGTAGTGGATGACCGCCCCCCACTACTTGTTTGAATGATTTGTATATAAAAATGTCAGTGCCCCTGCCTTTTGAGATTGCTACCAAGAGCAGAATCTTCGGGGGGGGGGGGTGCTTCTTTAGTACAATCCCGGCTAAGTTTGTTTACTGGTTGCTTTGGGCGTTGATGAGGTCCTTCCTTTTTACAGGTGTTTGGTGACCCTTGCTGCCATTTTGATTTTATTTTGGTTGACTGCTG